TAAAGCATATATATCTGTGTATATACACCCAGACACATAATATATACTCCAGTTGCCATCAGATCAATTCTGACTGCTAGCAACCGTGTTTTGCAGAGTAGAACTGTACTCCATAGGGTTTTCATGGCTGTGATCTTTGGGAAGAAGATCACCAGGCTTTTCTTCTGAGGTGCCTCTGGGTGTGTTCAAACTGCCAACCTTTCGGTTAGTAGCTAAGTTCTCAACTGTTTGTGCCATTCAGGGACTCCCATACACATGCACACACACACACACACATACAGAAAGAGAAAGATTTTAAGGAATTGTCTTATGTGGTTGTGGGGGCTGGCAAGTCCAAAATCTGTAGGTAAGGTGAAGGCTGAAAACTCTGGCCGTCTTGGGTTTGAAATTGGTAGGCCAGGCAGCAGGCAGAATTCTTCGTCCATTGGGAAACCTCAGTTTTTGCTCTTAATGCCTTCAACTGATAGGATGAGGAAAGCCAAGTGTTTTTAGGTGGCCAAGGCAGGAATGGAGAGGAGAGGATAATGCCGAAGCCATAGACACAAATGTAGACCCAGAGGCATCACGAAGAGGGAGGGAATGGGAAAGCTTTGAGAGGGAACTTCAGAGTGAGTTTGCATGAAGTGTGCTCAATTGGAATATTCTGGGCATGGAAGTGTTGCTTTTGGTCTCTTATCCTTGTTTAACAACTTAAACACTATAAGAAGTTTAGGACAATGATATGTGAAACACACAGTCTGAAGACAAATTTAATACAATAATATATGCATTTTCCTAAGAAGATTTCATTCAAGATCAGATTTCAATGTGAAGATCAGATTTTAAATCGGCACCTGAAATTCACTCAGTCATTCCTTTGTTTGATGAATAAAGAATGAACACACTCTAAGTACTTGGCCCTGTGCTGAAGCCTGGGTTATAACTGTGAACAGGGAAAGAACTTAGATTTCACATAAAGCTTCACCACAGTCTCTAAGATTGATCTTGTTCAAGAAAGTTTATTACTGAAATCAATTTTGTTTTCAACAAGCTTTAGGGAAAAACATTGAAATTATGAATTTGGATAAATGCATCCTTATTTCTCTACATAGTTCTCTTTGAGCTTCTACCATGCCTTATTTTATATATTTCTTAGCCTGATTGCAACATTTCCTCTTTTTAACAGCTATTTTGAAGTTTCTCTTCTTTTCTTTTGATAAGAAAACACATTTTGTAGGGAGCTATCCTTGAACATATATGAGAAGACAGATTTATTCTCAAATAAAATGCTGTGTTACACTTCGGGTTTTCTTACTCTTTCTTCAGTTCTGCCTTCCGTAGGGGAGGCTGGCATTAAAGCACACAGTCACAGGTCTGAGAAGTACAATTTCTTCAGTCCTTTTGTTCAATTTTCTCTAAATACACCTGCCAAAATTCACAGAAGACTAACCTCTGGGACTTGAAAACAAAGAAGAAAAAAGCTTCTTTTTGTTTCGAAAGCTGTATTGGGCTTTTATTTGGTTGAGGCTTGAGGCCTAGGTGACAGTCCCCTGGTTTGTATAAGGAAGTAATTTGAATGAGAACAAAGAGGCTGATGCCAGTGGAGGTGCCTTGCCACAAATTCTCCTCCTTTCATATTTAAAATATTGTCTGAATCTGCAAGAACAATGTTGGCCCTGATGTTTAGTTTGAGCATTCTTTCTCTGGTTACTTTGAATTCTAGTGGGAGAGGATTTTGTGTGTGTGTGATGAACAGGAAAAAAAAGAAACTTGGTCAGTGTTTAATGGTAGTAATGGAAAAATACAGAGAGAGGAAAGTAAAAAACTGAGCACCCCAATAACTGATTCAAAATCTAGAAAAGAAGTTGGTACAAAGCAGATGGGTCATTAGGCTTTGAGGCTGTGACATTTGGGAGAGAGAGCTACATTTTATTTGAAACTGTGAATAAACAGCTCGGAAATCTTCTATGATGTTCTTTTCTGATACCGGTATTATTCCATGTTGACTCACAGCCCTGAAAAGCAAGTGTTGGTTAAAATCTGTTACAATAATTTTTATGCTTGAATGTATTACTTTTTAAAACATTTTGACTTCTTATATTTGATTTCAGTATAAATGGGAATTAAACTTGTGGAGGCCTGGCGGTCAAGTGGTCAAGAACTCGGCTGCTAACCGAAAGGTCAGCAGTTCAAATCCACCAGCCATGCCTTGGAAACCCTATGGGGCAGTTCTACTCTATCCTGTAGGGTCACTGTGAGTCGGAATCAACTTGACAGTAACGGGTTTTTTTTTATTTGTTTGTTTTGGAATTAAACTTATAAAGAGGCCCACCTAATGACCCAAAACCTTTCTGAGATTGTTAGGGGACTACCCTCCTAATTTAAGTTCTCATAGAATGTTATTCATGACATGTGTTTATGCAATTGCATAACATCTTAGAGTTGCAAAAGACTATAGCAATTATCAGAGCCCTGGTGGCACCTTGGTTAAGAGCTCAGCTGCTAACCAAAAGGTTGGCAGTTCAAATCCACCAGCTGCTCCTTGGAAATCCTATGGGGCAGTTCTATTCTGTCCTATAGGGTCGCTAGGAGATGAAACCAACTTGACGGCAATGGCTTTGGTTTTATAGCAATTATCTAGTCTAAATGCAGAAATATTCAAAAAATTTATAAAGGATAAATGACTAAAATTTATTTAAATTAATACTACCTTTTATTTGTGTGGGGATTTTTAATTTTCAATATATTTAAAAATATAGAATATTATTGGATCCTTAAAATAAAATCTAGGAAATTAGGCAGGACTGATGTCATCTCCATTTTGTATTTGAGAAAAATGAGGTTCCAAGAGGAGAAACAAAGTGCCCAGTCACATGGGTCCCCAGCCAGGGCCAGGAGGGCAGGCCTTCTTGGATTCTTCATCTGCAGCTGTGCACTGCATTAGGACTTGTTCTATCTCTTCCCCACTGATTCAGATAATGGGGAACATAGTGTGACCTGTGTATTATCACACTGCTGGAAGTTGATGACTATTTGAGCCTAAATATAAAGAAAACAAAACACAGATTCTCTGAACTGTATTTTGTGATGTTTTCCACTATAATCTTCCTCAAAGATGTCTTATTTGAATTAAACTTTTAACCTGGGGAAGTTTACAACTCGAGATTGCTAGATAATCAGATTTCTCTAAATACCATTAGCTCCGTGTCACTTGAACACATTTACAACACTCACTTGAGTCTCTTGTTCCCTTAGCAATGCTGTATTTCCTACATACACACATCAGAGGATGCCTGAGGAGTTGAGAAAAGTAGCAAATTAATTAAACAATTAATCAAATACCTCTGGAGCCCTATTATGTTCCAGGCAATACGCTAAGTGCTGGGGGCATCAAAATGAAAAAAACAACAACAGCAAAGAAACAAAAACAAATACAGTTCCTGTCTCCAAAGAATTGAGGGCCTTGGGAGGAGATCAGATACATAGAAAAATAATAATAAAAAAAATCAGTGCAGAGATGACCTTACTAGTTGCAAGTGACACAACATGGGATGGTGATATGCATGGGGAAGGCTTCAGAGGATGGTTAAATTGAGTAACTGGCTGAGTACAGTCAGTCAAGCAAAGACAAGATATAAAGGTACTCAAAGCAGATGAGGAGATACCTATAAAAAACAATACAGTTTTTGCTGAGGGTGTGGTAGCAAGAAAGAAGCTATAATCAATTTGGTATTCCTGGAGTGTAATATTGACCAGGGAGTGAGGAAGTTATAGAGGAAAGGAGTAGTGACATAGAGGAGAATCTTGTGGGCCATACTCAGGAGTTTAGATATTATTCTGTGGCTAACAGGAGACTCTGGAAGGATTTTAGGCAGGGGTACATTATAATGAGGTTTGCATTTTAAACAGATCACTTTGGTAGCTATATGGAGCTTACACCTTGAGGAAGCAAGGACACAGCCAAGGAGACAAGGTGGAGTAATTCCAGAGAGATAATTAGAACTTGAACCAGATTGATGGAGGTAGACATGACGCAAAACAGAACAAATGGGAGAGCAAGATCTTCAGAAATAAAATCTACAGAATCTTCTGATTGATGGATTTGCGAAGCAACAGTTAAAGAAAGGGAGAGTCAAAGATGCTTACTTGGCTTTTAACTTTGAGGACTATCGGAACAGAAGGAGCCATTAGCTTAGTAAGAAATGCTGTCATCTCAGTCTCTGAAATATTGTGTCTGCTATCTATGGGGCATCCAGGTGGACTCATCCAGCAGGCAGTTACATAAATGAGTCTAAAGCTCAGGAGAATGGTCTAGGTTTCAGATAAAATATTGAGAAATCACTTAGCATACAGTAGATTGCTAGCCAAAGCCTGAAGAATGGTTAAGATCGCAGAAAGGGTGTCATATGAAATGAGAAGTACAGTGGACTAAAGTGAAGGAAGAGAAGGTATAAATGGCATAGAAATGGTGCTGGAAATAGAACACAACACAGGAAGATGGGCCATCAAGTAAACCAAGAGAATTGAAGATATAAGTAAGAGTAATCAAGGGTTGTCAAATGGGCAAAAAAATATCTTCTAGATTTCTCAACTAAAAGGCACTAGGTGATCTTAACAAGAGTTGTTTTAGTTGAGTGGCCAGATTGGATCCATGTCATGATGGATTGAGGAGTGAATGAAAGATGAGAAAGTAACAACAGTGCATGTCAAGTGCTCTTTAACAAGTTTCCTTGAAGATGAGCATGAGAGAAGAGTAACTAAAGAAGACTCAAGATTCCCCGTGGTTCTCTATTTTCAAAGAGCAAACTGCATTTCGCACTGATATTAACCTACGCAGCTCAGAAAACAACGTCCCAGGCGCTCTCTATCCCTTTTACATTTACATTTTGTAATCTCAAACACAAGTCTGTTTCCAAAAACATACTGACAGCACTTTAGAAAACCATTCTCTAATTTTTAAAGAGGAATTTGGGAAGGATCTGATGTTTGTTTAATGGAATGTAATTGTGGTTAATCCGTAGAATCGACAGACGAGGTGAAAGTCCGCAGCCACAGCACGGAGCCGATACCAAAGCTGGAGAGCAAAGAGAGAGGGCATCACGGGGCATCTTCCTCCAGAGAGCCTGGCAAAGCTCAGGAATGGGACGGAACACCGGGGCCACCTGTGGTGACCAGTAGAATGGGAAGATCCTCTGTGAGCCCTACCTTGTTAGCAGGAAACCACAGTTCAGGTAAGAGCTATAATGGTCTCCCAGGCCATAATTTCTGAGGTCTTCATAAACCGCTTTCGTGGGATTGTCAATTATAGGACCCCAACCACAGATACCCCTGCCACTATTTATAACCAACCCTCCCCCCCAAAAAAATACCACCACGAATAGAACGGCTGCTGTTGAGTTGATTCCAACTCATGATGATCCCACTTATGTCAGAGTAGAACTGTGCTCCACAGGGTTTTCAATGACTGCTTTTTTAGAAGTATATCACCAGGACTTTCTTCCAAGGTGTCCCTGCATGGATTCGAACCTCCAACCTTTTGGTTAGCAGCCAAGGTTGTTAACAGTTTGCACCACCCAAGAACTCCCTTCTACTCATAGAAACAGTGTAAATAGCCCTTCACCTAGGTTCCAAGGGATGTGACAATATACTGTACCTCTCCAGGGAGCACAAGTCACGTAGATGAAAAGCAAATGGTACTTCTTGGAGCTGTGCAACGCAACAGCCTTGATGACCTGAAAGTATCCAGTAAATTTCTTCAAAAACATCTAGAGACCTTATCTAAAACAGTTGTAATTTGTAGATTTCAGGTTATTTAGAGCGTATACCCTCTTTGCTTCAAAAAAGATTTTAAGCAACTGGGAAAAACTAAACAAAAAGTACAAAGATTATCTAAAGGCAGTAGATGGAGTAGATATTATAAAGCATCTGAAGCTGTAAGCTGAAGACAGTAACTGGGCATTGGGCATGGTACAAATTTCCAAGTGTAAGTCAAAAGAGAGAGAAAATTAAACTAATACACCTTTAAATTTCACAGGTTGAAATTTAAATCTGCAATGCAATTTTCTTGGTTAATAGATAAATACCATTACACGTATATTTTTTTTAAAAAACAGCACATGTTTGTTTTGAACCAATTAATCTACATGCTGGACTCACGGAGAGCTGGCAATTTGAAATAAACAGCATATAATCAAGAAACCTTCTGTAATTTTCAGGTTTCTATTCCTTAAAAGTGTTAGAATGCTAAAGAATAGACCAGTCCTTTAACATTCTTTTTCAACTCTGATATTCCTCTCAGAAAGTAATTTACATGGTTTTAGTCTGTGGTCTCTGACAGTGAGGCACAAGTTAAAATCAAACAAGATGAATGATCCCTGAAGCTGGGGTAGAGATGTTTCTGGAACAGTATTCAGGGAGAGGTAAAGCAATAGCTTCCCAAAACTTCAAATGTCACGTAAATCAATGATGATGAAGCCTTATTGTGTATTCTTCGGTTCAGTGGTAGAATTCTTGCCTTCCATGCAGGAGACCTGGGTTTGATTCTCAGTCAATGCACCTCATGCACAGCCACCCCCCATCTGTCAGTGGAGGCTTGCCTGTTGCTATGATGCTGAACAGGTTTCAGTGGAGCTTTCAGACTAAAACAGATTAGGAAGAAAGGCCTGGTGATCTACTTTGGAAAATTAGCCAGTAAAAACCCTATGGCTCACAATAGTCTGATCTGCAGCCGAACATGGGGATGGTACAGGACCGGACAGAGTTTCTTTCTGTTGTGCATGGGGTCACCATGAGTCAGGGGCCAACTCAACGGCAGCTCACAACAGCAGCATGGAGAACCAAATTAATAGCATTAACCCAAATCTGGAGAGGAGCAGCATGTGAATTTAGCAGAAGCTTTACAAAATCTTTTTGATTGTAAAGTGTACATAGCTATAGGTGTAGGAGAAAAAAAATCTATCTATATCTGTCTGTAAGACAAAACGATATTTTGTCTATAAAGAAAAAAGAAAGAAAGGGAAAAATGGGTATTTTGTGAGGAAAAAAGTCATTCCCGAAGGTCACTGACTTTCACTATTCACTTTCAGTTTATGATTAGTTGTAGACTTTTTTAAATGTATATATGTAATTTTATAAATGTTTTCCAATAGTTCTATTCAAAAAACATGAAAAATATCTGCTCCTATTGTGAACAGAGATATCTTTTATGAAAACCTTCAGCATAACCTGAGTGTGTGGTGTGTACCAGCCACTGTTGTAGGACCCGGGCGTACAGGGTTGCATCCTTACGTATAGGTGCTTAAAGTCTAGTGCAAGACAGGCAAATTGATTATTTCAGTAGAATGTGTTACATACAAATGATATGTGAAACAGAAGGGAGATCAGTTTCCTGGGAGGGTATAATTTCCATAGGCATGATCAGGGGCTTTTGGTTGCTAAATTAACAATAGTTTGAGGAGGTAACATTTGAGCTAGAGTTTGAAACATAGAGTCACTCACCAGGGAGATGAAGAAGAAAGTGACAGACTCCTGGATGAAAACCTAGAAGTCTATGGGATGGGACATAGTGTGTTTGGTGTGAAGAGTGTGGGAGAAGATTGAAGAAACTAGAAAGGTAGATTGGGACCAGAAAGCAAGAATCCTAAAGGGCCATGTGTATTAATTAGAAATGTTCCTAGCTACAAAGTACTTATTAACAGCAGCTTAAGCAATAATGGTCGTTGGTAACTCACATACCTCCTAGTCTATAGACAGGCATTTCAAGTTATTTTGTAGATACCATCAAGGACCCAGGAACTTTCTAGCTTTCTAACTCTCCTTCATAATTCTATTTGTTTATTTTAATGATCATGAGCTAGCTACATGAGTTCTGGGTGTTGTGCCCCAGCAGATTCTCCTTTTCATCTAATTGGTCAGAAGTGGAGAACATGTCATCTGGACCAATCACTGAGTGACAGGGTGTGGAACTTCCATGGGCTTATAGAGGGCCCTCCATTCCCTTAAATCAAGGGTCTCTGCCTAATACCTGTCCATGAAATCAATAGTTTATTAGCAGGGATAAAGACAGATGATGTTGCATAAGCAATGCACAGTATCTACCACATGATGATACAATAGGTTTTGAATATTATTTGGTAGATTTTTTGTAGTAATTTAGATATCTTTAAGATAGAAGTCCCTGGGTGGTGCAAATGGTTCATACACTTGGTTGCTAACTGAAATTTTGGAAGTTTGAGTCCACCCAAGTCACCTCAGAGGAAAGGCCTGACAATCTACTTTTGAAAAATCAGGCACTGAAAACTCTATGGAGCACAGTTCTACTCTGATACACATGGAGTTGCCATAAGCCAAAATTAACTCAATGACGACTGGTTGTTTAAGATAGGGAGAATGTATTTCAATTCTCATCATGGAAGCTCCAATAAGGACTCCAAAGCTTCTAGCTTGAGTGTCTGGGAGGTGATTTACTAAAACAGAGACAGGCATTATGAGCTGTGGAGCAAGATTTATAAGGGAAAATCAGGACTTAATTTTGACTGTGTTAACTTGGAAATGCTCTGACACATTCAGTTGAGAAATCAGTCGTTGTTGTTAGATGCTGTCAAGTTGTTCCCGACTCGTAGCAACCCTATGCACCACAGAACAAAACACTGCCCGGTCCTGTACCATGCTCACAATTGTTGTTATGCTTGAGCCCATTGTCAATCCTTGAGGGTCTTCCTCTTTTTCTCTGACCCTGTACTTTACCAAGCATGATGTCTTTCTCCAGTGACTGATCCTTCCTGACAACATGTCCAAAGTATGTAAGACGTAGTCTCGCCATCCTTGCTTCTAATGAGAATTCGGGTTGTACTTCTTCCAAGACAGATTTGTTCATCCTTTTGGAAGTTCATGGTATATTCGATATTCTTTGCCAACACCACAATTCAAAAGCATCAATTCTTCTTCAGTCTTCCTTATTCATTGTCCAGCTTTCATAGGCATATGATACGATTGAAAATACTATGGCTTGGGTCAGGTGCACCTTAGTCTACAAGGTGACATCTTTGCTTTTCAACACTTTAAAGAGGCCTTTTGCAGAAGATTTGCCCACTGCAATGCATCTTTTGATTTCTTGACTGCTGCTTCCATGGGTGTGGATTGTGGATCCAAGTAAAATGAAATCCTTGACAACTTCAATCTTTTCTCCGTTTATCATGATGTTGCTTATTGGTCCAGTTGTAAAGATTTTTGTTTTCTTTATGTTGAGGTGTAATCCATGAGAAACCAGTAGACAGTTGTAATTACAGATCTAGAGCTAAAAAGATTTAGTGGGATTAGACACTTAGCTACCTTTGGAGTGGTTAAAACTTGAGACCGAAGGATCCTAACCAAGGAGAGCAAGACACTGAGATGAGAAGGAGCTGAGAATGGGACCTTGGGGAATCCAAACATTTCAAAGTGTAGGCAAGGGAAAAAGAAATGTGCAATAAACGAAAGTGAAACAATTAGATGTTCCACAATTAAACTTTTTACTGAACACACCTTGACATGAATCTTCTAGAAATTCAGAGTGTAAAAAGAATGTATACCATATTTTCACTTTTTACCTTTGCAAACTCCTGAAGTGGCTCCTTTCGTTTATAGCATCTAACATCTGTTCTCCTGAGTCTTTCAGCTCTGTTTGTAGAGCAGTAAATTATCTACTGACCAGAAGAAATGACATAAATATGTTTTCCTTTCACATGCTTCATTTTAGATTGTGAAGAAAGTAGATACATGTGGAAGAAAAAAATTATTCTGGTTAAATGTTTGATTATGAAATTTTTGTAACTACACTAACACAAATGTAGGGCAAATGCAGTGACATATGTAAAGGCAGTCAAGTCAGCATTTCTTGTGTAATAGTGAAAATATTCACATAAACACTCAAATGAGTGTTACTGCTACTTGAACCGTTAGAAGAAGTCAATGCCTCCCAAATATATCACAGCAGTTGTATCTACTGAGTCTACCTTTTTACCAATTTTGAGGAAGAAAACAAAGAGAAAAGAAAAATGTTTGTCGTGTTGGTAGTTTTTATTTTTCTGAAGAGAAAGAACCCCAAACATGCTAGTTCTGTGCTAGAAAATGCCATAATTCCACTAGCAAAAAAGGTATAAAATAAAATATCTAAAGTTCAGTTACCTTCAGTGTTTTAAACAAACCATGCACAACTTAAATAACATTAGAATATTCTTCCATAAGATAGACT